TTCAAAAAAAAAAAAAAAAAAAAAAAAAATTGACCCATTTTTGGGCCCAACCGGAATTCCGGTTGGACCACCGGGGGTCCAACCGGCCGGTTGCCGGCACAGCCCTGCTCTTGAGCCTTTCAAACCTTATTCTGTGCTTTCTCTTCACCTTTCATATCTGAAGTTTATGGAGCAATACACCTGCCATAAGGAGAAGATAGGCTCCGTTAATATTTTTTTCAAAGGTTTAGGAGATTGTATGGATACACAGATTCCATAGATAAATATTGAAATTTCATGGCGATGTGTGTCGATGTTCCATAGCATCTGCATCATGTGCACTGAAATTTCATAGCATGGGCATATATATCGTCAAACAGAGCTACCCAGTAAACCGTAGACAGAGAGGGATACATGTGTTGTGTTCTGAGCTGTGCGGAGACCGTGTAGCAATTGTGGTTTGGACACTTACGCACTCCAAAGGCGCAAGTTGATCGTGTTGTATGTGCCAAATCCTGGGATAGGTGTGTCGTACGCAACTGCCTTGACGATGTCCCCTCCCTCCCACTTGAACCGCAGCTTGTTCCCATCAGAGTAATCTTTGACATGGCCATAATATCGCACCGGATATTGCACATCTAATCTCTCCACTTCCCATGGATTGCCAACTGTCAGCCAGCAGTCCGGTAACTCGACTTGTTTCCCATTTATTATGCGCTGTTCAAACATCCCATACCTGTATCGGATACCATACCTGAAAAGCCCAGCATATTTCCATCAATCAGCCAATCAACCAATCAATCAATCAATCAATCAATCAATCAATCAATCAGTGAGTCCATTCAATCCATCAACCAATCCATCAACCAATCAATCAATCAATCAATCAGTGAGTCCATTCAATCCATCAACCAATCAACCAATCAATCAGACAACTGACCAAACACTCAATCGCAACCACTAGACCAACCGATCAATGGGTCCATCAGATTGAAATCGAATCAAACCAAATCAATCAGCCAGTCAAACGATCACTCGATTCAGGTGAAACAAACCCATATCCAACCAAAACAAATCTAACCAAATCAAAGCAAAAAGGCCAACTCAGATGAAATCCGACTGATCCGAATAGAATCAAATACGATCAAAAGAAATTACAGACAAGTCAAACAGAGCAAATAAACTGTCAATATGTAAATTGACCGAGAATTTTGAGAAACAGACAAATGCATCCGAACAGCCAAACCCTGGAATAAAACAGACGGTGAACACGGAATGAACATGCAAGACTTTGTGAGCGGAATGACCAGAGCGTTATCACATCCATGGGATCTTGAATGGTGCATAGCAGTAGGCACATCACCCAAAGCCCCATAACCCAGGAGAAACGCTCAGCAATGGTGTTCCCACTCGAAAACCACAGTAGTTGTCTCCACTCCACACTGCGCTACTGGTGGACAAGTGTGCAACAACCATCTGCTTCCTGACCTCTCTGAAAAGCAATGGAACAAGCAATAATGACATCTCCGACACATGCACATGAACATTTGTTATTATAATCAGGGAAAAGGCTGACCAGAGTTCTGTTCAGTGAGGGGACTTAGAAGAGGTCTGACGAAGACATCTGGGAAATTGGGGGAATGGAAAAAGATGTAGATATGACCGAAAAAAAAACTATGGGCGCCATAACTACTCAAAGTTTCAAACCGTATTCTCGAGAAGCTACCAACAACTTCAGCAAACTACACAACACTTTCTCAACTGCTTCTGCAAAGGATTAAAGTAATAAAGTTCATTAAACAGAGTATTGAAATGAGACTGAAAGCCAAAGTACAGCAGCAACTTCACAAATTCCAAAGCTACAAACGAAAAGGAAACAAAAAATAAAAGCCGAAGCAAAGCAACAACTTCACACAGTCCAAAGCTAAAAACGAAAAGGAAACAAACAAACAAAAAAAAAAAACATGGGGACATGCACGCAAAGCCGCTGGTTTCAAAACTTCAAAATTGAGGAGAGAAGCAAAACAACAACTTCGTAAACTCCAAAGATGGGAAGAGCGAGAGAACAAAACAAAGAAATGGAGCGAAAAAACAGCAACAACTTCACAAACTCCAAAGTGGGAGGGAAAGGACATGAAAACGCCAAAGGAAGACGAGCATCAATGTCACAAACTACAAAGCCGGAGACGAGGAGGAAACAAAAACAAAATGTCATGGCAAAACATGTTCGCATACGAATTTACAAGAGATGCGTCTAACGCAGTGCTAGTCCCCAGTCGAACCAGGGGCTCCTCCACGACCATGAGCCCCCCGGTCAAACTGGACGGTGACTGGCCAGGTAGGCTCCAGGTTGCGCCCATGGCATTCTGGCTGGCGGGGAGGTCCAGGAGGGAAAAAGCTGTGTGGCCTCCTGGAGCTTTGTGGAGCTGCAACTTCGGGAGAGAGGGGGGGGGGGGGGGGGGGGGRGAAATGGGGCCAGTAATCCCATCGTTTCAATGAAAAACAGGCGGCTGATCTCGGCCACCAATCTGTTTTTCGTTGAAATGCAGGGCCACTGGCCCCACTTTTTGAATTCTTTTTAGGGCATACTCACACTCAGACTTTTCTACTGAGCTCTAGATGTGACTGAGGTCAGACTCATCCGGGTATGGCCCTAAGTGCGGTCAGATACACTTGAAAACGTGCTACTGTGAGTATGCCCTTAGGCGGGAGTTCTTCTGTGTGTCCAGTGCCTCCGCACTAGCGACCCCCCTCCACCCACTCCAACCTCCCCCTCACTCATTCGCGTCACCATTCGCACTGCTGCTGCTGCACGACATTACTGCCAACTGCGCCCTTGACTGACGTGGCGTCACCATTCGCACTGCTGCTGCTGCACGACATTACCGCCAACTGCGCCCTTGACTGACGTGGCAGAGCCAGCCAAAACCGCCAAAGAGCCCACCATCACGGCTGTTGAGCATCCCTGCGTGCCCTCTTTTTCTTCTTCTTCTTCTTCGTCGTCTTCTCATTCTTGGCGAGAGAGAGGGGGGGGGGAGAGAGAGAGAAAACAGTTTGTGAAAATGTTCTTCCGTCGCACTCCTCCCTCCACCCTCTTCTTCTTCTTCTTCTTCTTCCTCCTCCTCATCTTTTTTATCTTCTTCTTCGTCTTCTCCTAGGCAGAGTAGAGGAATTCCGTCCTTCCCGTAGAAGAGTTTTAGACGTTTCATACTACCCATGTATCATAAAATTTCATTCCAGAATCCATATGATAAAAGTGGAGATGATTCTCAATTCACAGCTGGTCGCTGCTTCTTCTTCTTCTTCCTCCTCCTCCTCCTCCTCCTCCTCCTCCTCCTCCTCCTCCTCCTCTCCTTTTCTTCTTCCTCCTCTTTTTTTTTTTTCATTAATTCCAGCGCGACATTTCAGCATAAACTTAGTGCCAGGTCAATGTCTGCCCATCACTGGTGAATCTCAACTCCCCCATTGATCTTCCCCCCTCGCCCTGGCCCCCCTCATCCACTTCTTCTTCGTGTTCTTCCACATTTCTTCATCTTCTTCATATTTCACTTCAAACACCAAGTTCGACATTCACCCTCTCCCATCTACCTCCCCGCTCTCCCATCGACTGCTTCCCCCCCCTCACCCGTCGACCTCCCCACTTGCTGTTCCTCTGCCACTAACCCCCCTACACACAACCCCCCGGCCCCCCTGAAAAAAACAGTTACCAGTTCAAAATTTTCTTTGCAGATTCCGACTGCTCTCCTCGAGCGCAGTCGTACCCCACTGTCAAAAAAAACAAAAAACAACAAAGGGCTGTTTCGGGCCCAACCGGAATTCTGGTTGGAATTCTTCTTCGACCAGCTCAAGTGGACCGGGTCCGTTAGAACCGGGCGCGCCCTGTCCCAGCCATGGTTTAGAGGCAAAACAAAACGAAACATTGCATTGTGCTTGGAAGAGCTACAAAGAGCATAGCACGATTAGTCCACAGATGGTCAGCTGACGATCAGCTGAGGTGCCAGATGGAGAGCAACTCAACATGCACACAAGAGAATAAGGTAGGGGTTTCAACTTGCTGGGGAACCAAGAACTGACCCCGAGGCAGGAAGATTGAGTGTAGCCATCGAGTCTAGGAAGCAGCTTGCTAATCGGCCTAGTCCTCCATTGCCAAGAGCAGGGTCATGCTCATGCTCAAACTGCTCTAGGAAGGACATCCCCAAACAAAAGCCATTCATTCAGGGAAATGCATATCAACAGCCGTTCAAACAACACATGCCAAATGACATACACACGAACACATTGAAATCAAGGGTAAGTATAAGTTCAGAAGAATTTCCAAAGAACCCAAAACAGCTATCACACACGGGTAACACTCCATTGCCAACAGCAAGAGCACGGTAACCTTATTGCTCCTTAAACCACCAGTACTTCCTAAAGTCATGCCCGTTAACGCGCCACGATTTTAGGAAACGTACGGGCCACTACAGGAGCGCCCAAATTCATCCAGCTAGAAACGTTTCTACTCTATTTTTTTCTGTGGCCGATAGCTGGGCCAAGTACTGGTGGTTTAACTGCTCTAGGAAGGATGTCCCCCATCAAAAGCCATTTAATTGGAGTCGTACACTATCAGTAACGACTCCAAAGCCGCATGGTTAGTAGAAGTCGAAAAGAAATGCCAATGAAGTTGAATGAACCTGAAAGACCTATGCATACCAGAATTTCCAAAACCAATGCAAAAGCCGCCACACCGTATCGACTGCCATCCCTCCCTCCTAACATGCAACAGGGGAAACCGGTGCCTCTACATGGCTGGAAAAGCACATTTCACAAATTTAATAGATTCGTGACACGTTATGTTGTATTCTGGTCCAGTGACTCCAGTGTCCCGTACACAGAATACTCATATTCCACACTTCCCTCCATTACGGTCGAGAGAACCTCAGACAGCGGCATTGACTACATATTATGGAGGAAGTATTTACCACTGCTCTACCCCTGTTCTTGAACCTCTGCAATAACACCCCCTTTTGTGTACTGCAATAGAGACTAAAAAAACTCTCTCGAGTGGGTGGCTTCACCCCTTGATTACTTCGTATGAGAAAGAAAAACATGTTCATTACTTGTCACTTAGGAGCTAGAATATAATACAAATGTATGACCACATACGTAAAACAGAGTAGGACAAACCTTTTGGGCCATATGATATCATTTTAACTCATAAATAAACTTTATATAGATAATAGTAGAGAAATTTAGAAAGAATAGGAAAGATTAGAATACAATAAGAATAACGTGCAGACCTCAAATAGAGTACGACAAACCTTTTGCCCCACATGATATCATTATAACTCATAAATAAACTTTACATAGATAATAAAAGCAGAGAAATTTAGAAATTATAGCAAAGATTAGAATACAATAGAATAATGTGCATGCAATTCGACAAAAAGTATCGGGTTTGTACCACTGAGATAACTGCACGGTGCACATCCTTCGGAGCATTGCGAGTATGCTGCTAGGCTTTCTACAGGTCCATTGAAGTTTACTGAATTACAATTATTACCTTAAGTTTACCAGGAAATACATCTTCACAAAAAAGTTTTGGGTGCGTTTATTGTCCAAAAAGTACCCAAAAGACCATAGCTCAGGGAGTTCTTTTCTGAACACATACCGCATCCTCCAGCCTGTAGCCAATCTGTTGCAAAGCGCCGGAGTATGAATCCTGTTGTATTCACCACCACATAGATACCAAAGCAAATAATCAACCAAATAATATATATTTGTTACGCATATCTTTTGCTATAATAATCTGACTATCCTCTCTAAACTTAGTTCGGCAAAACTCATCAGTGTTACCGATGGGATTGGTAAAAGGCGATAAGCATGATAAGCATACATGCCATGCAGGACCTATTTGGCATTTCTATCCATTGCAGCATCAATGTACCCAGAAACATTATCTCCTTGTCAAGGAGGGAGCACCTCAAGCGCAGCACCCATTCAGTATTTGATCCAGCTGTGACCATTCATTCAAGGTCATCTATATTAAAATTGAGGAAGCAAGAAGCATCTGAAAGTGTTTAAACAGCTCTCTCTCTCTCTCTCTCTCTCTCTCTCTCTCTCTCTCTCTCTCTCTCTCTCTCTCTCACACACACACACACACACACACACACACACACGTACGCCGCTTGTCAGTAAGACATGCCCTATTTTTCAGGTCTGCGCTTCTACCAGTCTTTGAAGTGAGAACCTTAATGTGCAGGATCCCTCTCTGCAGGCCCTATATTTCAGATCCGCGCTTCCCCCTCCTCTCTCTTACACACACACTGCTTGTCAGTAAAAACAAAGACATGGCCCTATTTTTCAGGTCTGCACTTCTCCCACTCTTTGAAGTCAAAACCTTAATCTGCAGCATCCCTTTCTGTGCCTTCCAACTGTTTATATAAGGTTCGCTTCATGTTTTCCTCCCACTGTATTTCATTTTTATATTTTCTATTGTGTTTGGCTTCTCCTGTTGCATGGCGTTCAGTACGCGTTTTCGTCTCATTTTGGAAGAGAGAAAAACCAACGCAGGTAAGGCCTCTCACCTTCACTGCAGAGAAGGTTTAATGACCTTTCAAGGACCTGGGAGGGGTGTCAGCTAGGCTCTCAGGCAAGATCCTTCTGCTTCCCATTGGAGACTGAGGGACAGACCCAACTGGTGCTACGTTCCCAACGACCAGGCCATTTTCACGAGCAGGTTCATGCTCTCTGAGCGCAAAATTTGCGCAGGTGGTGCCTGGCCCTGAGGTCCCACAAGAGGGACACAGAACCTCCGGCAAAAGCCCTTGACACAGAAGAAGGCTCATGAACTCCCCCTCACCACTTGGAAGCATCAGAAAACCTAGTCAGAAAAGACCCCTTCACACTGGCGAGATAAGATCTAATGTCCATCGTGTCCTCAAAGACGCAAGAAAACAAAGACAAAAGAAAGAAGTAGCAAGTAGTGCTTTGTTTTTCGGGCTTTCCTTTTCGCCTTTTTCTTTCTTTGTTTTCTTCTAACCACCACTACGTCCGAGCCTCCAAAGCGCTGCGCGCCAAAGGGAAAAAAACAAACCATCTCGGCTTTCATGGCCAATATGAGTACAGTGGGAAAATCCAGACGGTCATGTGAAAGCTCTCTCAGAATCCCCTTTTGCTTCCCTTTCGGGAGTCGTGTTTCTGGCGCCGCCAGCCATTTTGGTCCAGTAGTCCTGGACCCCCAAGACTTTTGGACATACACGTTCTCACAGGCTAGATTTCCCGGGGGAGTGAGGTGGTGGTTTAACAGTGAGGGACACACCCTCACAACACACAATACTATCATCGTCTGCGCTCTCAGCCTCATTGCGAGCAGTGCATACCCAGTCCACTGAGAGGAAATTGCCTGTTCCCCACAGGACCAGGCAGGTACAAAAAGGAATCAAGTTGCCGGTCAGTGTCAGGAGCTAAAAATAGCTGAGGGCATACTGACAGATTATGACTATCCTGGATGCACTTCTGCTCAATCACAGCGTCGATCAGTGCAGAACGACCTCGTGACTTGAGTGGGTCTTTCCTAGAGCACGCACTTTTCTCTTGCACTTCCATCCAGCATATAAAGCATACGCGTTTGTTTCTCTTGCATTGACACCCAGCATACAGGTTCAGTCCACACCTTGGACATCCAACAGAAACATAATACACTCTATCTGACGAGGGTTGATCCTTTGGCGCATTTAGCAACAACTATAAAACGCGGAAGCGTACACCATTTCGACTCTCAGTATCATCCAATGACATACCTGAAGCTTCATGTTGTATACAGAATTCTGCAAAGACCTTCCAATCAAATACTCCAACGAAAGATAGCACACATGGCGCACGTCCTGTATGAACCCCAAGAAGACACCCAACAACGCCATCCAGTCAATAACACATCCATGCAGCAGCTTTGCCAAGCCACCAGACAAACCCATCTCCTCAACTCAACATTGCACTCCAAATATTTGGTCAAAAATTCCCAACTCGACCTGACAATCCCATTTTACGATGGCGGAATCAACACCAACCACCGTGTCATTTCAATGACACCACACTTTGACACGTGGCATACGGTCGGCAAGGCATGGCCACTTGATGACCAAGTAGACAACCGGGAGAAAGAAAAAAGAAAAAAAACGAGAAAACATAAAAAGAGCAGCTGGGTGCAAACGAGGCGAACAAAGTTCTCATCATAGGTGGATGAGATACTGTGAGGGCATACTCACACAAGGACGTTTTTGACTCAGCTCGGGTCGTAATTGCGGTCAGATACATCCTTGGGGGATGGTAATTTCGGTCAAATAGATCCAGGAAAGTGCAGAGAAAAATGCAACAGGGCGGATAAATGGAGAAATTCGTGGGAGCGAGAGAGACAGAGACCGTGGGACTGACAAGGGGGGAAGGGAAGGGGGGGGGGGAGGAGGAGAGAGAGAGTGAGGAGCAGAGGAGAGAGCGAGGGAGGGGAAGGTGAGAAAAGAGAGAGGGAGGGAAAGGGCAGAGAGACAGAGAGAGAAAGAGAGAGGTGTTTCCAATATCCTAGATTTTAAAAATGCCCGGGAAAGGATCTGCACAGAACAAAATGAGACTTCGGTAGTGACCTTGGATCTGTCCCTTCCATTCTCTCTCTCTCTCTCTCTCCCTCCCTCCCCGCAGCTGCATTGACCTTCGTCCCTTCTCATCAAACATGGTGCTCCTCCTCTCATCTTCCTTGGACTGAAACGTCTCCATTCATTGCATTCATTATTTTAAAAAAAACGGGAATCTCGGTGAGATGAAAAAATATAAATTTTAAAAGCGAAGGTCTTCACTCATTACCTCCCAAGGCACAAAGGTACTTCGATATGGTTCCCCCCCCCCACACACACTTAGGGACTGATGGAGAGGCCACTGGGCCGTCAATTTCAGGTTTGGCGGTTAGCATCCCAAGGGACATGGAAAGAGAGCAGTCCTGAATGTATCATCTACGTCCATGTAACCACCTCACGGAGTATATCTTGCGTCTAAGGGTGACGGCCTTGACGTATCATCATTGAACTGACCGGCCCCAGTTTGTATCTGGATCCGAAAACTGGGGCCTGTATTTCAACAGTTCATGGGTGTACCAACTGAGCTAGGCTTATTGATACTTCCACGAGGATTGAAATGGCAAAAGAAAAGGAAAAGAGAAAGAAAAATCTGTCAAAAAAAAAAAAAAAAAAATCGGCATGGGAAAAAAAAACAGTTGAAAAAAAAAAGAAGGAAAAATTTCCGAAATACAAACTCAAGTTCGAATCCAGAAAAAAAAAGAAAAAAAAGAAAAAGAAAAAAGAAGATAACATAATTCTGAATTCCCTGGGGCCGGTCGGCTTCAATGATCATATCTCAAGGCCGTCGCCATTATTAAAAAGAACAAAAAAAAAAAAAAATAGAAAGAGCGCTTGGAACAGTCATAAATGCGAATGCCATTCCCATCTCGAACCACCCCCCCCAAAAAAAAGGGTTTTTTTTTTGGGGGGGGGCGGGGGGGGGGGGTACTGAACGCCTAATCAAAGAGGGCTGTTCAGGTCCGAAAAGCAAGGAGTAGGCAATGTTCGCCTTGCGCGAGTTTCCGAGCCCACGTTGAACACACGCGTAAAGAACAACCAAAAAAAAAAAAAGAAAAAAAAAGCCACGGTGATCCATCCACAGACCTTGTCGAGGAATATATAAAAAGTTCATGTTACCAAAGTGGCCCGGGACCACTTTCCCGGCCGGGCCAAAATTAAATCGAAAATAAAAAATAAAAATAAAAAGATTATATTTAATCATATTATTTCTTCTCAAAATATATAATATTAATTTTTAATTTTTAATTTGGCAAAGAATTTTGTTTTTTTTCCGATCCCACCCTGAGGCAAAAGTTGTTCAAGTTTTCTTTCCTGCACAACAGAGTTTTCTTTAGGATTTTTTTTTTTTTTTCTTTTTTACAGGGACCTTCCCTGGCCCTTGCCCGGCCAGACTGCCCGGGCAACCACGGTGACCCGGGCGGACCCGGGCGGCCCGGTTGGTAACACATGAAAAAAGAAAAACAACAACAAAAAGAATACTAAAAGACAGCGAACAGTAAACTGCAGTTGCGCCAACGCTACCTTATTCCCCCCACCATAACGCCTTATTATCATTGACTGCACCGGGCCAGAATAGAGCCTACATACATTCATGATGATAGGGAGTAGGGAGTCATGTTCGGAGGAATAAGATAGATAAGCTATGCAAGCTTTAAATCATCAATTCAAACAAAGCTCTCCTCTCCCAACTACACCTCCACCTAGTCAAACAAAGCTCCTCTCCCAAATCCACCTCCACCTCTCACCGCACGCACGTTCTCCATCACACAGCAACAACTCTTCAACCGCTATATCCATAAACATCATCACTAATCATCATCTATATCATGCTCACGACCACGCTGCTCATTCTCTCATCATCTATATCATGCTCTCCACCCCAATCAAGACTTATCATCATCATTCGTCATCGTCGTCGTCTTTGATGATCGTTATTCATCCATCAATCAATCCATCAATCAATCCCATCAATCAATCCATCAATCAATCAATCCATCCATCAATCCAGCAATCAATCCATCAATCAATCCATCAATCAATGAATCAATGAATCAATCAATGAATCAATCAATGAATCAATGATGGATAAGCATGATCATCCATCCATCCATCAATCAATCCATCAATCAATCGATAACCATCACCACGCTCAGCATAGGCGACCGTCAAAATTGACAATCATCAATCATCATCCATCATTACCGGTCATCATCTATCATTACCTGTCATCATCAATCAATCGCCAGACATCATCACTCAATCAATCATCGTCTCGTCGTCATCATCAATCAATGCTGGTCAAGGATGATGATCCATCCGTCCATCAAGCAATCAACCAATCAATAACCATCCCCATGCGCTCAGCATCAGGGACCGTTATAATTAACCATCATCAATCATCATCTCTCATTACCGATCATCATCAATCAGTCATCAGACCTCATCACTCAATCATCGTCTCCGTGTTCACCAACGGGTGTAGTCAGATCACACACGATCATCTCACCAGGCATCGTGAACACCATCAGAAATGTCATCACGAACATCATCACGATTGCGCGTTTCGACCATGAGAACGTTTGTATCCTTCTTTCAATAATACTATACGACGTGCCTGTGCATCGCAATTGGCCATCGCTTGTCTTTCCTCTTCTTCATCATCATCATCATCATCATCATACCCGGTATCACCACGACCATCTACGGTTAATCCTTGCCCGTCGTCGTCAGGATCAACGCCATTGTCATTCAAACTGGTCTGATCTACCACACCACCATTGCCATCATCATCACCATTCCAGCATCTGCTTCTTCTATCTCCCAGCCATTCGCAAACGCGTCGCGGTGGGAGGGGAGGGGAGGGGAAGGGGGAGGACGGGAGGAGGGGAGGGGAGCAGGGAGGACGGGAGGAGGAGAGGAGGGGAGGGGAGAGTAAGAAGGCTGGGAGGGGAGGGGGAGGACGGGAGGAGGAGAGGGGAGAGTAAGGAATGAACGCAACCAGGGGTCATGGGAAGGACCTACGCAACAAGGGGTCATGGAAAGGACCTGGTTCAGAAACAAGAAGAGCAAGGAGGCTGACACGGAGAAACTGTCACAAGGAGAGAGGAGAGAGAGAGAGAGAGAGAGGATCTCAGACTGCATGCAGCATTTAGCATGACCTTTTCACATTCGAAGAGGGGAGAGAGAGAGAGAGAGAGGGCTTTAGGGCACCGCCACACCACTCCCGGAATATGAAAACGACAAAATCTATGGAGGATGTATCTTTCGATGTTTTTGTGGAAGATACATGCTCCATTTTGCACATTCGGCGAGTGATTGAACGAGGGCCTAAGGCGTCAACACGCTTTGCACTCTCCTGCTCGTTCGCCTTGCCCCCATCTTCTTTTATCTTCCGGTTGTGCTCCACTGTGGTGGAGTTCTTCGGGGAAGTTCCTCGAAGAATTTGGGGCTCCCCCACACCCGTTTCTACTTTTTTTCCCTTTCGGTGATTTTGCCTGCCTATACTGAAGAATTCCCAATCACTGAAAAGTGGGAGTTCTCCTCTGTGTTCTCCTCTGTTTCTGAGGTTCTTAACTTGAGACTACGGTATCCCAATCACCCGTATCGTTTTTTTTCCCAAGAATTCCTTACAAACGGTCCACTGTATCAGGCCACAATTCTGGCCTCCGTGGAAATGGAGAGCACGATTTGCCCCTGCTGCAAGGCGCTGTTTTCGATTTGGCCCTGCTGCAAGGCGCTGTTTTCGTAAAAGTCCTGAAAGACCTGATGGGCGGACCCCCACAAAAACTCTTACGGGAAGAGCTCCGCACTTACCGAGACTCGGTGGAGCACAACCCTTCCTTTTTTCCTTTTCGGGGAAATTTTACCCCCTTTTTTTTGCCCTTTTTCTCTCCTTCCATATGGCCCCCAGTGGGCTCCCGTCACGTTTTTTTTCCTTCCATCCTTCTTTTTTCTTTTTTTTTTTTCGTTCTTTTTCCCTTCAAGTTCCCTTGCCCCTATTTTTCTCCTGATTCCCTACTCTGCTTGAGAAGAGATTTTTATTTTATTTTTTCCCCCTCAATTCCCAGCGGTCTCCCTACCCTACTCTTGTCCAGTTTCTAAACTACAGTTCCCAGCGGTCCCCAAAACTACAGTTCGGTATATTTCCCAAAGTACAGTTCAGGGGAGAAAATAAAATAAAATAAAAAATAAAATAAAATAAAATATGTTGACTCGAATTCCCAGCGGTCTCCAAAACTGCAGTTCGGGGTAACTTTAACCGTAGTAAGCTTAGCCGTTTGGTTGGTTAAGCGTGCAACGCTCCAATGAGGAAGGGGTCGCGTGTCCGATTCTTGAGATCGGGATGAAGGACGAAAAATGCAAGGCCTTTCTTCTCCTTTTCCTTCTTTTCCTTTTTTTTTTTTTTTCTTAACTTTTTTTTTTTCCATCTCTTCATTCCTTCTTTCATTCTTCATCTGCATTTTTTGCCTCTGTTACTCCATAAATTTTCGGCTTCCAGTGCTTCAAAAATAGTATTTTTTCCCATTAATCCGTACAAAGCCGATGGAGCTGAACGAAGATACACACACAATGACAGAGAACCTGTGAATGGACACAGATCGTATGCTGTCGAATCCTGATGTGATCAGAGATACAGTGATAGCAAATGGCCAAAAAAGATGCTCTTACCGAAAAAAAAAAAAAAAAAAAAAAAAAAAAAAAAAA